GGGTTCCGCGCGATAAAAATAAAATCCATAAAACCCAACAGTAATAAATTCCGTGCGGACGAAGTCGCGGGGGACAGCTAGTTTCAAATACAAACATTGTTTTAAAATACCAAACTAAAGGCAAGTCTTTTATTAGAGGCTGTCAATCATGTTTAAACGTTGTCGGCAATTTCATTACGGCTGTTGCAAGCTTCCAGCAGAGATGTTCATAATTATTAGCTTGCAAGAAATAGCTATATACATTATTTAATATTAATATTCGACCTGTTGTGTGTAGATAGTTAAAAGCTAATTACATACTGGTACTGGTACTGACTGCATCGTTGATCTAGTGATCGTAAAAGCGTTTGCTTATCATGAAGTCCGGGGTTGGAATACCAGGTCAGGCCAAATTTAGTTATTAGGTTTTTCTGTCAAGAAATTCTCAGTTGTAGCCTGGAGTCAGGAAATTGGTAGTGTTTACAACCCCGTGCCCGGAAAGCATATAGCTATAACAGTTGAAACTGGCCACCGCAACCGAAATTCGGTCTGGAATGCATTATTATTATTATATATACAGTTTAATTTCGCCATTTGTGGTGGTCGGGGGGCACGGCAGTGCCCCCGCCAAGTCGAGCGCGAAGCAAACACTGCCGTACCATCCTTTACTGGAACCGTTTCGCCGCACTTTCAGGCCTCTATTTGAGAACCTCCGGATAAGACCAGAACGCAGAAATTTTCGTCATCCAGTAAGCTATAATCACATACTTAAAATCCAAAATTTCAAGTCTGTAGGTAATTTAGTTCCGAAGTTAAGCGAAAGCAAAGTTTCGCATTTATGACACTCACTCACTCATGATCATCAGAATAGAACTAGTACTTCCCATAAACTCAGAGAGCTGAAATTTGGTACAGAATTAGGGTTTAATGGCCACATAAAGGGAAAACTATAAAAACTAGGATAATCGAAGATCTGGAGTACCTGGTGACCCTGATTAGAAAACATAAGAGCCCAACCAAACTATTAGATGAGATCGACATACCGCCCTTGCAAAATATATTTAACTTGGTAGGCCGCTTTATTTGATGTCAAAAATCGAAGGTCTGAAGTATCTAATGAAAAACCTTCAGCTGGTCTCAGCTGTATTAGAGATATGGTAATGCCCCCTTCTACCATTAGTACGTAAAAAAATCTACTGTCATTGCAAAAATCCAGCGTAGTGGGACACATCTTCTAATTTAATCTAGCCTATAGCGTCCCACTGCTGGGCGAATGCCTTCCCTTCTGCTTTTAATACGCATATAAATAAAATTAAAGGAAAACTCTGGATGACACTAGACTGGCTTTTATACTTATACTTACAAGTTTACAAGAAAAAATAATCGATCGATTAACTTTATTTTATTCGAACATTAATCAAATAAAATAAACAAATTACACTAAAATACTCATTTCGCTCAAAATTTGGTCAAAATATAATGCATTGAACTAAGAGTGGCGGTGATACCTGCACACGTCGCTAGATGGCGCTGACTGTATTTTAAAACGCGCCGACGTTTTGTTTTTGCGATAACCTTTAGTAAGTAAGTACTTTTCTAGTATTATAGGTTAAGTCTATTTAGTTAGATATTACTTCGTTTCGTTTAAAAATATCATTAATTTAGTTGTATTTCAATACTAGGTAGAGGTAATATCTTTGGTAGAAAGTTCATTGATAATTCATTATATTGACACTTGTCTAATAATTAAGAGTTAACCCTTTGTTTATAGTTTATAGATGAGTAGACCGAGTAATATTTTCTTTGAGTTTTCTTTTTTGTATTAAGACAAAAGAAGTCTTAAAGATATAGGTTTTTATTGTTTTAGTCTAAATTAGTCTAAATATTATCGGTATTTCTGATTTGTTGTCCATATACTAAAGGTCGTTGAGTTTATTTGATTCGCAAGATAATATCGTAAAAAAATGTCGATAATATTAAAAGACGACGGTGAACTTAGTGGCTACCAAGTAGTTGGTATGCCCAAAGATGGGTCTTGTCTCTTCCATTCAATATCTTTCTTGGTGTATGGTAGAACTGACTCAACTTGCAGTATCAGATCTGCTATAGTTGCATACGTTGCTGACCATTGGGACGAAATGCAAGTGTACACGTGTGATGCTGACGTATACACTAGCGCGCAATCCTACATGAGCGATATGATGAAACCCACTACTTACGGCTCAGCTTCTGAGCTTATGGCTGCTGGAAAAATCTATCTTTTCACTTTTGAAGTGTATGAGAACGGTATACTAAGAGGTTCCTTTGGCGATGCTGGCCAAAAAAAGGGTTTACGTTTTACCGGTAGTTACTTAAGCGGCCACTACGATGTACTCATTCCTATACGAGATGCCTCTCCATCTTCTTCCCCCTTTCATCCCATAACATTAAATTCTGTAACATCAGATACTGCTATATGTACATTATATGACTTAAACTCTACGCAAAGTGAATTGAACATGAAGCATAAGGGAAAAGGCGGTAGACCGACTAAAACAAAAAAAGGAAGACCTAAGGTATCCGAACTGTCACGATCTGAACAACTTCGAGAAGCCGCGGCTCGTTACCGACAAAAACACCCTGAAAAACGTCGAGAAACCGTAGAACTTTATAATTCTTTACATCCAGGCGCCAACCGGGCATCTGTAGCACAGTACAGTGCTTCACACCCTGAAGTAAACAGGGCAGCTGTAGCACGCTACAGTGCTTCACATCCGGAAGTCAATCAGGCTGCAGTATCTCGCTACCGTGCTTCACATCCGGAAGTAAACAGACAAAACTTAGCGCGAAAGAGATCTACTGACAAACTAAAGTTTAAGGGAAACATAGAAACAATCACTAGAGTTCTTACAACTAAACTTAAAGATAGATTAGAATCAGAAAAAATAGTTAAGTGGACTCTCCATAATAGGCAAAGAATTTTAGAAGATTTGAACAAGACTGCAAATAAATTAAAAGAAAAAATAGTAGCGGCATTAGAGAAGTTAAAAATATGTCCTGAAAGCACGGATATTAAAGACAAATTTGAAGCATTTCTTGGTAAATCCGAACATCGCAGTAATCAGGAGCCATTTTATTCTGAACAAGCTTATAAGGTTTATGAAGATAAAGAAAAACCTATTGAGATTGATGATACTGGCAAAGCAAAAACCTTTACAAATATTAAGAAAATGTCCAAAAGTCTGACATGGTCTTGTTCGGATTCATTGTGCGTATTAAATGATGGAATCTTACTAAAATTGAAAAACATTTTCGAAGTATTGAGCCTCCAAACTACTCCGCAAATTTACTCGATGTCTGTAGAAACAGGAAAACTGCAAGAAAATGTCAACTTTATTAATAACGTTAAATCGCATTTCCCACATCTTCGGACTATTATCAGAGAGATTTATCAAATACACAGCGATTGTAAGTTGCTTGATATTGACAATTCTTTGGCAACTGGTAATGTGGATAAGCTTATGGAGCTAGGAAAGCAACCGACGGTAGGAAGTGCCGTTGTAGAGCGTACACCTGATAGTGAAAAAGTGGAAGATGAAATAATAAAAAGTGATAAGGTTGCTTTTAAATTATTTTCCAAAAAAAGTGTAGACACACCGAAACTGGATTGTATGTCGTGCAATAAACTTTGTTACTCTAGGGATATTAGTTCCATAGAACGATTAAGAAAGCCCATATCAACAGATGTTTGGAAACAGCTCCTGAACTACTATAATTCTAGCCTAATAACTCACAGTCCGTACATATGCCACACATGCCTTGCTAAGATTCGTGCTAACCAAATGCCTGCTGTCTGTATCCTCAATGACATGCACGTAAGCACTGTTCCACCAGAAATAGCTCAGCTGAACGACTATGAAAACATTTTAATCCAACGCGCTAAAGCGTTTCAGGTGGTTGTTACAATGAATCCTGTGGCTAATAAACGTCTACCCAATCGTCAGATGGTTAAAAAAGTAAAGGGCAGGACTTTTCATTTACCACTTCCGATGGAAGAAACCCTAAAAAAACTCCCAAAACCTGAAGACGCAATAATTGAAAACCCAGAACTTTATATTATAGTCCGAAGTACGCCAAACAAAGCAAATATTATATGGCAAGACATTGTTGACGTTAATAAAGTGTACAAAGCATTACAATACCTCAAAAATGTAAACGAACATTATGCTTATATCAAATTAACAGATTTACCTAACCAGCTCATAAACATACATGAAAATATTCAACATAATGTTACAAATACACCAGATAATACTGAAGAAGCCATTTTAGAAGATGGTACAGCAGCACTGTTGACCCAAATCACAAGAGAAAAGGAAACTGATTATGAGCATTACACCATATATCCTTTGAATGAACGGAGACAAAATGCACCAGCTTCAGAACTCTACCAAATGCTCAAAGTAAACACAGCACCGATTGATGCCCGAGATAAAGACCTCGACGTTAAATGTTTTCCACATTTATATGTAGAAGGAAAATACGGCCAATTTCATAATCGGCAGCAGAAAGTAACTTCTAGTGAATTTATTAAAGCCCGGCTTATGTCTAAACATCCTCAATTTAGACTCAACCAACAGTATCTATTTTTCTTATTGAATGATGCTAATATGCGCCAATTAAACTCCGGAATCTTTTATAAAATGAATTGTGCTAATCAGAGAGATAAAATTACGGTAGAACGGTATCTCCAAATGCTTAAAAATGATGAGCTGGAAGGTGATTTGACCGCAATATTTGGCCGACTGAGAAACACCGAACAGTTCTGGAAGAAACCAAGAAACGATGTAAATTGTATGACTCAAAATTACGGTCCAGCAATTTGGTTTCTTACCATGAGTCCCTCTTAGTGGATGTGGGAGGATTTGGGAGAGTACATCAGGCAAGTAAATGGCGTTAAAATGGCTAATAAAACAATCAGTGAATTGGTTGCTCTTGACCCCGTATCTACCTCACGTATTATAGATAACAAGTTTCATGCAATGTTAGACTTAATAACTAGTTCAGATGAGCCTTTAGGTAAGATTATTCATTACTTTTGGCGTCGAGAGTACCAATCTAGGGGTGCTCAGCACTTCCATTTAATGTTATGGGTTAAGGATGCACCTATTCTACATAAGTCATCTATAGACGAGGTAGCGTAATTTATTTCTAAATACGTGTCATGTGCCATTCCAAAAAAAGATATTTCTCCTACTTTACATCAACGGGTCACTTCGTATCAAATGCATAAACATAACAGTTATTGCATGAGGAGAAAGAAAACGAAAAAAGGATTCGTTTCAGTTTGCCGTTTTGGATTTCCTCGAACTGTGACGGATTCTCTTATCATAAGAGACATTTTTCAATCTATAGCGGCAAGAAAAACTCTCAGCTCTAATAATCGGCTCTACAATATTGTCCGCTCGAAGGAGTCAGATATGATTAATGACTACAATCCCGCTTTGCTGTTGGCGTGGAATGGAAATATTGACATTCAATATGTTGGAGAGAAAACAGCCATTTTGAACAATTATGTGACCAAGTATACTACTAAAAGTGAAAAGACCCATGCAACCGACATGTTTAACGATATTAACTCTTCAAAAAGTCTTAGAAGCCGGTTATATAATATTGGTCTCAGAGTATTAGCGAATCGAGAATGCGGAGCTTTAGAAGCCAGCGATACATTATTGGGAATACCACTTTACGGCACGGACCCACAAACAACAATAAGATGGTTAGACGTAAACATTCATCGTAATCGCAGGGTTAAATCGAAATCTGAAATGACTGGACTGGACCCGAATTCCACTGACATATATTACAATTCTTGGATAGAATTACAAGACATGAATCTATTAGACTTTTCGAAAGACTATGATTTAGTTAATACACGGCCTGTTTCAAATAAAGTAGAGTATTATGTTTTAGCAAATAAAAAATACTTAAAAAAACGAGATAGACCATACCTAATTAACCATTACCTGTATGATGTAGAGCAAATGCCAGAAAAATATTTCTTTTCCTTGTTGTTATTATTTAAACCTTGGAGAATACTAGATGACCTAAAAATGCAACATGAGACATACACAGAAACATTTAATGCTGTAAAGGACGATTTACAAGAAGCGTTACGCTACGGAAATTTACGGACTGAATTACGAAATATTTTACAAACAGCTTTTGAAAAGGTAGAAGAAAAAGTAGCAGAACTAAACGAAGAAAGGGAAAACATAGTAGATGAAGGCCCCGACAATCCTTTAGTGTTTGAAGCTTTGGAAGCGGTAAATGCTATGGAAGATTTAAACAACTTTGATTTAGTTGAAGCGGATATTTCTGAAATGAATGAGCAAGCAATGATAGATAAACTGAATTCTGATCAAAAAAAAGTATTTGATACAGTCACTAATAAAATTACGAACAAAAAAGAAATATTGCGACATTTTGTTAGTGGCACCGGTGGCACCGGCAAGAGCTATTTAATAAAAACCTTAAAAATATGGATTAAAAACAACCTGCATAAAAATGTTGCTATTACTGCCCCGACTGGAATTGCAGCATTTAACGTAAACGGATTAACTGTTTACAGATTACTACAACTGCCCGTAGAGCATAAACAAACTCCTAAATACAAACCGCTTTCAGACGAAGTACTTCAAGTTTTAAGGACAGACTTAAAAACTGTCGAATTATTTATTATAGATGAAGTGTCTATGATATCTAATGTAACTTTAGCCTACATAAATCTTCGTTTATGCGAAGTGTTTGATACTTCTGATGTAGAAGATGGTTGGTTTGGAAAAAAACATATTTTAGTGCTTGGGGATCTTTTGCAACTTCCACCCGTTAGAGCCTACAATTGACTGGTTATTCAATCAACGTTTTCCAAGTGGGAATTTTCCATCGTCAATGGGTAGCGGTTCTGGCGGCAGATTGGTGCAAGGGTGTCATGTAGCACCTGGTTTTGTACCCTTGTGTACCCTTCAACGGCCAAGTCACACAACATTAACTATAATAATAAAGAAATCGCAGTAAGGAACCTTAGACTTGGCACGACTTTGCCTAGATTTCATTACTTTTTAGAGATAAACAAGCAGCTCCATCGAGACTTGGCTAGTTTTTTACAGAATGTTTTTGGTGGGATTATATATACAGGTTAATTTCGCCATTTGTGGTGGTCGCAGTTACCGATACCTATATAAGTTTAGACACGCAGATAAATATATACGTATGCCATATAATATAATATGAATAATAACACCCTACACAAATATATCGATGTTTTTGGCCACCGCATATTTGTCGTAATATAAACGGAATGAAATTGAATATTGGTTGCGCTGCCGTGTTGGCTTATTACGTGCGTATATTAATTGCTGTAATCTAGTTTGAACAGAAAGAAAAGCAGTGAAAGATGCACAATGCATTTATGGGTTCGAATGCACCTATCCATACATCCATTTCCATTACAGCCTACAAAGATTCACTGCTGAGCATATGCCTCCCCCATAGATTGCCTCGTGGGGCCATTTTGCCATAGTTACTACGTTTGGCAAGCAGGTTAGCAACCGCAGTTTTTGTTATTTTGGGTTGTTATCAAGAAGATGTTCTTGGCCATTTGCTAGTGCATTTTCCGTCCATTGCCTCTCAACAACCCACGGGATGATATGTGGTAGTGGATGTTCTTACACCGACACTACGTGGTTAATCATTTATTTCAAATTACTTGTTTATTTATTTACACTTTATTGTAAACCTTAAAGAAAGAATTAAAAAGGGTGGACTTAATGCCTTTTGGCATTCCCTTCCAGTCAACCCGGGACTTGAGGAAATAAAATGAACACATTCATTTTATATATATATATATATATATATATATATATATATATATAATGATGATGATTTAATATCATTTGAGAATTTATTAAGTAAGACTTAATTCGAATGTACTAGATATAGTGTTTAAATTTATATTTTTTTTTATAGGATAAGGGTGACAAACGAGCACACAGTTCACCCGATGGCAAGTGGCCGCTGCGGCCCATATACATCTACATCTATCCTCTGTTACGAATCAAAATGTAGATGCGTTGTCACCCGTGAGGACTAAGATGGAATGCCTCATTTCCAGTAAAAAGGGCCTCCGGCCACGTGCACTCACCAAGCGAAACGCAGAGGTAAACATCTACTTCACGCTGGTTTTCTGTGAGGTCGTGGTACTACCCCGGTTCGAGCCGGTCCATCCGTGCGACAGCAAAAGCTGCCGCGTGGCTCTACCACTGTTATATTTTTTTCTGTCAATTCGTTCTTAACGTTTTCTGGAAGAACGTTTAGAATGGAAGCTAATATTAATAGTGAATATTAAGAGTTTTCTTGTCTCCATAAAAGTTGTTTGATTTTATTTTCGCTGTCGATTTTTTATTACTTTGTAATGTTCTATTACAATATTTTATCATTTTTAATCAAGGAATTTTATTTATATATTCAATCATTATATGATATTCAAGTTTTTATTTATAGGTATGAAGTTACAGTATTTGAAAGTATATAGTTATTTTCTTTATATTTTTGTTCTACCTTGTCATCTACATGTCTTGTCAGCTTTGAGAATTTTTGTTGTAAATTAAATATCCTTCTTATGTATGTTTTGAATGTGATACCACCATACCTTGTATACCGACCATAACTTGTTATTCCATACGATATCATTGAATATACTAGCGCATGGTAAATTGATAATAGTACTGAATATGGTACTTTATTCTTGATAACCCCACACGTATATAGAATTTTGCAAGCAATTACCTTAGCTTATTACAAATCGCATCAATATGAGGACCCTAGTTAAATCTGTTGTCTTAGATTAAGCCTATGCATTTTTGAATTGTAAATTGTTCTATATGAATTTTTGAATAAGGTCATGCGTACATTTGTATGTATGCACAATTATTAATATTTGACTTTATACTATGTTACGACTCGACCTATATATAAATTTATTTTATTCTGCGTTAAGAACTAGTCCCGTATTATGACAGCATTGATTTATAATCGTAATATGGTCTTCAAGAATTTTTTGAGCAGCGGCGATGTCACAATCTGCTGATACGATGCAAGTATTGTCCGCAAATTTGTATAGCATACACTTTGTTATAAGGAGGTTAAGGTTATTTACATAAGCAAGGTAATGCAAGGGCCTCAATACTGATCCCTGTGCAGTTCCTTCTGTAATGTTTATTTTATCAATAAATTTATTATCCACCCTAATAACATATTGTCGTTTACGGAGGTAGTTTCTACTCTAGTCTAATAAAAGTCCTCTGATACCTGTGTCTTGAAGCTTTAGAATTATAGTTTCATGTAGTAAAGTATCTAAAATCTTACTGTAGTCAATAAAGGCAATTAACCCTTTCGCTGTCGCGTGCACTACATATAGGCTGTGCACTGCTATTGTCTTACTATTGTGTCTGGAAACCAGACAATGAAAGTGTTAATTCGTGTCTTTTCTCATCAAAGTAAGTAATAATATCATTTGTGAATTTTGATAGTAATTGTGTAGTGCTTTAACCAGCTTAAAACCCGAATTATTTGTCAGATAGTATAGAGTTGAGTAAAATGTTTGTATTTGTTCACATATATACTTTTCTCCTATTTTGTCGATAGTTGGAAGTATTGATATCGGTCTGTAATTGGCATATTCTGTTTGGGATTGTTGATTATAAATTGGCCTAAAAGTACTTGCTTTTAATCAGTCTGGATAAATACCCTTTCGTGCCTATAAGTTTGTCAAAGCAAATGGTATCTTTTCACATATGGCTTTTATGTCAATCGCTCGAATGCCATTTTAAGCTGAACGCACATTTGTCCGCGCCGTACGCACCGTACGCGCAGTACGCGCCGAATTTTAGAATTCGTTTTATGAAATCATATGAAACCTCGCACATTACACCCGCACCGTACGCGCCGAATTTTATAAAATGCGGTAGGTATACGATATCGAAGGACGAATGCTGATGACGTCATATGACGCAGCGCATTCGGCGCGTGCTGATACTCAGTGTTGTCTAATGTTGCCAACTTAGTGGATTGTCCACTATAACTGGTGGTTTCGAATTAAATGATAATTTTTGTATTATTATAATTTTTAATTCATCCGTAATTAATTATACATAATTTGTTTTTTTGCATTGATTATCAATATGTATTCTAAACGATAAATTATTTAAATACTGGACTAAAAAAAATATTTAATTTAATTCAAAAACCCAATTATACCTGATTACTTAATTATCAATAAAAATACTTACCTCAAACATACAACAAGTCTTTTTTCTGGTTCAATTGGCCTTCTAAATCTTGAGTTTTCCATGGAAAGATATGGTTTTAGTATATGTAGCAATTCTTGAAATTTCTTGTATGTTAAATGCGAATATCTAAAGGAATCGTTCATCATCATCTAATACATCTTTAAATAAAGTATATGCCCTTCATATTTTCCAAACAATTGCCTTTTTAAATTAATATTATGAACCCACAATCTTCTTTTTCTTCGAATTTTATTGTCTTCTTCCTCTGCCAATGAGCAGGCTATTACTATATTTCTTTCCATAGTGATTTCGAGCGATCAATTTCACTGTAACGTTTCACACCAGTGGTTGGAAAAGCTACAAAAGTTGTTGGTAATACAGAAGATTAGCGTACGGCGCGGACGATGCGTACGGACAAATGTGCGAGGCAATCAGCAAAACTCGGCACGTACGGCGCGTACGATGCGTACGGTGCGGACAAATGTGCGTTCAGCTTAAACTGGGTGCTTTATTGGCGTTAATATTTTTTAATATTTTGCTACTAGCTGTACACACGGTTTTTTATAATAAATAGACAATAAAGTCAGATTGTTATAAATTTTTATTTCCAAAATATTATTTTTACAATTTGGTATTATTTCAGACACATTTTCTTCAAAACTTAAAGGCGAAATTATTCGTAATCGCTTGAGTATTTATATTGTTTGTTTTGAAAGCTTTATTTATTACTTCGTCAACAATTCGGGTTATCCTCCGAACTGTAAACGAAGTAAAAAAAATACGTACTGTACGCCGCACTGTACAGTCCTTGATTACTAGATCGCACAAAAATATGATCTATGGAATTCTTAGTTACTAGATTTTTACGTTTTCCGATCCCAGTGTAATCAGTTATCCCACAGGATAGACCGTACTCGCTCACTAGATCTATATACTGTGTAACTTTAAGGTTTAGATTTATGTCACCTATAATTAGAAAATAATCACAGTGCGAGTATTTATTTAATAAGTGTTTCATTTTAAAAAGAAATAGCGTTTTACTTTTGTCTGGCGGTCGGTACAATGCACACAGAGTGCAGGTACATTTATTCGATGTTGTTAGTGTTCGAATAATACATTTGAAACCCAATGGAGCAGTTTTGGTGTTATGAAAGTTGGGCTTATTTTTCATATAAATTATGACACCACCACCTTTTTATCATAATATCATATCGAATCTTGCCATGGGACTGACAATGAGTCTATATTTGTTTTGCAGAATATAGTAAGTGTATAGAATATAAGTACGAAGGAGTCCAATAAAGAAAAATAAAAAGAAATAAATAAATCAACTTTGGCTCCCAGGATATTTACGAAAATTTTATGTTTAAACGTACGCCAAAAATTAAATAATTTTATTAAAAATAGTGATATATATTCTGTAAGAATTAGGAACATGCACAAGCTTATTAGTTATACCAGTAAATCGACTCAAAATATTCAGTAATTCCTCCATGGGATAATTTATACGCTTACACAACAAAGTCCTTGGTAATATGCAGGACTTCTCAAAGCGT